TTATAGAAAATCACTATAAAGAACTAAAATTGGCTTTCAACAAGACAACTCGCCAATAAATTTTTATAGCAACTTTTATGAGCATGTATGAGTTTATTAGGTTAAGATGAAAAATATATTTCATCATTTAGGTCTAAATTCTCGACACAAAGACTTTAAGTTATTAGAGAAGCTAATCATCCCATAAAAGAACCTTTTGCAAATCTAAATACTAACTCTATAGAAGTGGAGGCTCCCATTATAAGTTTGTAGATATTGATTACGCATGGGCTAGAGGCTGTAATTACGAGTTTGTATCTACAAACTCGTAGAAGTTGGAAGTAACTCGTATGTCCGTAGATATAAACTCTAAAAGGGCTCCGATTATAAGTCCGTAAATATTGATTCTATAGGGTTGGAGGTCTGTAATTGCGAGTTGGTCTTTTCTTAGTGGCAAGTTGTTGTGGATTCTTTTGTATCGGTCCGAATTCAAAAAACTTTGAAACAAAAAATAAAATATTATACAAAATTCGAAAGGAACTTTAATTCATTAATAAGATAACATACTTACAGATTGAGATTCTTCCTTCATATATGATATTCGGGTAGGAATTTAATTTTTAAGGATTATAAACACGAGTTATAGTGACAACATAATACCGGAGAACAAATCTATCAGCCTACAAATCTATCATGCTATTTTGCTTACAACCTACCAACCATCCCCTACAATCTACTAGCTAAAAAGTTTAAAAATATTGAAACTTGGAATAGTGCTTGTTTTCTACAAATGTTGTTGAGTTGATTATTAATTTTTAGGTGTGTTATCTTCCTTTGTTATAGGTAGTATTTATAAACTATTAGCTCCTCCATAATCTTTTGTAGTGCTTCATGATCTTTGGTAGTGCTCCATGTTCTCTTGTAGCTTTTTATTTTTATGCCGCAATCCTTCATATTTTATTATTACTTTGATCATATCTCTTTCTTTTTTTTTGTAACTATTTATTTTCTCATAACAATTAGGAAGCATAGCCAATGTAGTTATTTTCTTATAACTACCTCTTCTACTTGTTAGGAAATTCAAATGATGGCTATGACATCTACCTTTTTTTTTTTTTTTTTTTCATATGTGAGTGTTTACCTCACATGTGGAAAGAAATCTCGTTATAAACTCTTCTTCTTCTCTAAAGTTTCTTTATCTTTTTTTTTTTTTTTTTTTTGAAAATGCACCTTTTTCATCATTTAATTAAAAAGCTTTCTAGAAATCTACAACTTTGGACTATCATCTCATGGAACAAAGTGTTAAAGTGAATATGAAGACCTTGAAACTAAATTTGTGACCTCATAAGAATATTTTCAATCTATTGAGCTAACTTCTCGTAATAATAAGGTCAAACTCTTATGATTTCAACAAGAGTCTACAACTTTGCAAGCTCAAATGAGAGTATGAGAGTTCTTTTGTTATGTAAACGAGGATAAGTCACTTGTTTTAGGCCTCTTAGTAGATCTTCTAAAGCATTTCTATAACATACAATGCTCTTTTACGAATGGATGGAACTTGTGTGTTCTTACATATATCTTAGATGCCTTGCAGATAAAAAAAATGACCACAATTAATCATAGTTAGAGATTAAAGATACATCATATATGCGACACTTTAGAATCAACCAAATGAATATGACTTTCAATTTATGTGATCCTAACAACCAACTAGTATGAAAATTCTCATGGATAAATAATAGTCATATAGACTCTTATTAGTTGTTTTCCATTCTTCTCATCATAAATATTTAAAAACATGATATGATTCTTACTTGAATCTACATTTATGGATGATTGCATCCTTACAATATCCGTGTTATGATCATTTATCACGATTTCAAAACGCAAATATATAATTTTTTTGAAGTCTTATGGTGATTTTTTAATTCAAGACTTTGATCATTAATCATAGTTTCATAATCCAAATCTGATTTTTCTTAAAATTTATTTATATTTATAATGTTTTGATCACAATTATTCATGATGATCTTAAGATCTAAGTTAGGATTTATATTGCGAACCCGTTACATCTTATGGCCATACGCCTATCTTACGACCTCCAAAATGTTGTCAACGTCAAGTTATAAGGGTTAATGGTTTGCCCTATAGGTTTTCATTTAGAATTCGCAACTATAGTTTTTAGTCCTTGTAGACCTATAATTAAGATCTCTAATCTCTCGTAGAGTCAATATTTATATACTTATAATTTGAGTTTTTATTCTATATAGACTTCGTATCTATAGAATCATAATTAAAGTTTTTAATTCCTGTAGAATCTATATCCGCAAACCTATAGTTATACCCCTACGGAATCGGTATTCGTAGACTTATAATTAAAGTGTCTAACCCCTTTAAAGTCCGCATATGCGGACATGCAATTGCAACTTCCGGCTCTTGCGAGGTCTATAGCTGTAAACATGCAATTACGGTCTCTAACCCCCGCAACATCGGTATCTACACACTTATAAATGGAGTTTTTAGCCTTTTTAGAGTTTGTATCTATAGACATGCGGTTACTTCCAACTCCTGCGAGTTTGTAGATGCGGACCTATAATTGTAGCCTCTAGCCCATGCGGAATCAATATCTATAGACCTATAATTGGAGTCTCCAACCCTTATAGAGTTAGTATTTATATTTGTTCTCTCGGTACTATATTGTCGACTACAACTCGTGTTTATAATCTTTAAAAATTGAATTCCTACTCAAATATCATCTATGAAAGAAGACTCTCAATTTGTAAGTATCATATCTTATTAATGAATTAAAGTTCCTTTTAAATTTTGTGTAATATTTTATTTTTTGTTTCAAAGTTTTTTGAATTCAGACTGGATACAAAAGAATCCACAACAACTTGCCATTAAGAAAATACCATAATGTCCCGAGTCAAAATCAAGTTCTCACAAGGGAACGAGGTAGTTTTGCCGTTGGATCAACACTTTATTGGCAGAATGTTATTACTATGTTAGCATAAACTTGTTTCACTAGCTACCTGACATTTATTTTCCTGAAAGGACTAAAATTCAAATCTACCCTGACCGAATTACAGGGATGAGCTTGAAATTAACAATAACGAACGTGTTGCACATGTCCACTTTTTAAAATTCATGGGACAGCCTACTTGGGAAAGTCTTCCGTAATGCAAGGGATGGAACAGACCTACTAAAGGTTCATAATTCTAATCCTGATGTCAATTGTCTATAAGTCGTGGGTCTCAACATTTTCTCATAGTTTCAACCTGCTGTGCCTTTTGACCGTTGTCCTTGCTTAATTGTGAATATTCGATATGATGAGGTGAGGAGTGTCATCGTACGAGGAATGCAAAATATCCTCCATCATTTTGGCTTGTCAGGATGGAAATCACTTGGAAAGTGACATCAGTGCAAGCTTATTCCTGCACGCTCCATGGCTACTAAGATTCAAATTTAAGATCACGGTGTGAAAACTAAAATAATCATAAGGTTCGAATTCCAGGTGACGGTGTGAGAATTAAGATAATCATAAATCTTTTAGTGTATGGACGATCTGTTTTTTATCGGACCAGAAATATGAATTTAATTTGCATACACGACAATTGATTCAGAACTCCTCGTGGTTGTAAAAGAAAGAAAGAAAGAAAGAAAAAAGAAAATGCCCATGTCATGAACGTGATAATGTTCGAGTAAATTATAAATTAGTCCCTCTAGTTTAAAAAAATAAATTAATGAGTCCATTTTTTAAAAAAATTAATTATTTAATCCTTTACATTTTAATTCCAGCAATAACTTAATTTTTTCATCAATTTTTCATAAAATTAATGTTTTTTTCTTAATTTTTTGTTGGAGAGAGAGGGTGAAAAAGATAAATAAAGTATTGAAAAAAGACAATCTGGAAAAAAAATCATTAATCTAACAAAAAATTAATAAAAAAGCTAAGTTTTTTTTTAAAATTAAAACGTAAAAATCTAAATGATTCATTTGACGAGATTGTGATCTTGACTGATAATAACTCCATAACATTCTCAATTTCCGTCAAATAAGATTGTAACCATCGTCCATAAAGAAGATTCTTGCAAACTGCTTAGAAAATGTTATGGCAAGGGAAGATATTTACTGTTACTTGTATCTCCAAGTGTAGATGCTTGACATGACTTGGGAAAAAAGGAGATATCAAAAGCCATCAGTTGCAAGCAGGGAAAGAGATGGGTTAGGAAACACAGAAACACTGGTTGAAGAGATGAAATACAATCAAGGTATATCTTTCTTTTCTTTTTATCAGAGGTTGAGCCGATCATTATCTAAAGTTTTAGGCCAAAAATCCGATGCATTGAAAATAGTGGGAATACTCCAGCCTTCCCTGAAACTCCCATGCCTTGGAGGGACTTACCCAAGTAAAACTATACGTATCTAACTGTACTGTTGCTGTTGTTCACTTTAGTGCCAGAATTTCCAAATCAATTCCTTTGGAAAGTCAAAATTGACATCCGAACCCACAAGCAGAATTTGCGTCCTCGTTTTTCCAGCTGTGCAAAGCTTTCAAGAATGACAAAGGATTGTGTATTGACCACAAATTGCATCAAATTCAATCCATGCAACCGTCATTCTTAGCTGTATCGTGTTCTGCTAAATTGACAATCTCCACAAAAATAGAACTCCGAGACCTTGTTGGTAAAAGCAAAGCTGGCAAAAACAATTGCAGCAGAAATCAAATATAAATACAGCTTAAAAAAAGAAGGGATTAGCATCCAAGTTTCAGGAATTTCGAGTTAATATTAACAAGGTTTAAAACTAATTATGTTCCTTTAGAGAGTAAAGACTGCTCTTCAATTTAGAACCACCTACAGCACTATACAGCTCCATGATGAAAAACAGAAACTGCAAAGAAAACGGTATTGGTTCGAAAGCAAAAGAGTTTCCTATGCCTGCTTGTAAGTCATCTTTTGAGCCAGAAAAATGAAGTTGAAGCTCACCAAAAATTTTACTGACGCATGATTTACGGATATCTAGGCATTACTCCTGTTGTATTTTGGTGCAAGCACTAAACGACCATTCTTGAGAAGGGCATGAGGAAAGGGGGCTTGACAAATGCTAATATGTGATTTCAGCCTGGGTATATTAGGGTGTGCACTTCTGCATCGGTGGCATCGCAACTCCATTGACAACTGACTGTCTTCATCTTTTATTGTTGCTTTCCCATGATTCTTGATTTCTTCAATTACGTCCACTGAATCTCGAAAAAAGGCAGTATTAAAAGAGTTCCAGTGCTTCTTGTTCTTGAGATGATTGGAATTGAAATCCTGGCTAATCACATGCAAGTGCAATTGCCTCAATGAAGGGACCTGCAAGGAGAGACAGTCCAAGCCCGTTAAAAATTCCCCCTTCCTTTCGGTCGTTTACTGTTTTAATATCTTAAGCAGTAAGAGAGCAGCTTGGGAAGAAAATCGGAAACATTAGAGTAAAAAAGGCAAAACATAAATAAGGTAAAAGGCGAAAATATTGGCAAGAATATGACAGATATAAAATAACCCCAGATTCAGAATAATGTTTCATCTCCTAATTACTGTCACAAATAGCTCTGATATTGGGTAGTTTTGTCACATCCTTTATGAATAACATCATCTCTCTTTTTCCACAATCACAACCTCAGTTCCAGCCTCATTCCTATGTCCAGTATTGTATCTGGCTCCCATAATGAGATATCAGATCAGCTAACTCCCTCAATTTTGCCCTCATTTTACTGCCATCCTGCAATCTATGGTCCTCAAGATAAGAAATTCTGCCAGGCTGAAAGAAAACCCCTCTACCAACTTCTCCAAGAAAATTTCAGTCCGACTTTGAGAGTTGTGTGATCTGAGTCTATATAGTCTATGACTGTATAAACAGAGACCACAGAAGAGAAGGACCAAAGTTAAGAAACAGCTTCTGAGTTTTCGCATAGCATACCGAGTGGTATCCAAGGCGGAAGACCATTGATGAATCTTCATGCAAGAATTTTTCAGCCCATTTCAAACCCACAGCATGCATTGTCATTAACAACTGAACGTTTTCTTGACGCACATCTGCAAGACGATCAAGACCTTCAAATCGTGCCAAAACTAGGAGATGCCTTTGTGCCTGTGAAAAGTAATGGAAATTCTACTAAATACCAATTCACCTTAAAGAAACAGAAAAGAAGTGAACATTAAAGGCTTGCCTTTGGATAAAGGTCATTTAGTACAACAACATCATCTAAAACCTCCAGCAATTCATCCTTGTGCTTCTCAGGATGCATGGCGATCTGGTAAAGAGCTTGAGCCCATGAGCCCCAACTCTTTGATGTGGCTCCTTCCAACTTGCTTTTGTCTCCACTTACCTTTCCACGTGTGGAACTAGGAGCGGAAATATCAGCTCCAATTTCATTGTGAGATCCCTTGCATTTTTTGCTTCTCTCAGATACACAGTCATCATCTCTCTTAATCTTTTGATCACTATTTGTTAAATGATTTTTGGGACCACCACGAGAGGGATCTTTCAAATCTGAAGGCGCTGATACAAGGTTTTCACAGCTTTTCCATGGTAATTTTGAATGGGACCTCACGATAGACAGAAAACCAGAAAAAAGTGAAGTGTAAGCTTCACGCAGAATGCTGCAGCCTTTAGTATAATCATTATCCAAAGGATTAGGTCTTTGTGGGTTCATATTTGGCCCAAGAACATGGATGACATGAGATACCCTTTCCCTAGTATACAACGGAGAATCTGAAGGGAGAGGAACAATCACAGCATGTCCAGGGAGAAGAGATCTTGCTCGTTCCTTAGTTGCAGTCTCTAGGGCGGGACCTGCAGCACTGAAAATTGCAGCATTCACACCTCCACCTCCAGGTTTCAATCGCCTGCAGAGGATTATCTTGTATATTATTCATGTGCAAATCAATAACATGATCATAGTAATAGTTACACAGATATGCGCATGCACACAAAGAAGAGGAGCAGCTACACATCATCAGAGCAAATCAATCTGAAATCAGTGCATAGCATGTTTAAATGAAAAATCAAGAAATTAGTGAGGTGATTGATGCTTAAGCATCACATACATGCATCTCAGGAGATGAGCACCTTTGAACCAAAATTTAAAAGTTATATTGCATAATACCCATGGACTAAAAATAAAATGATTTGTAATTAAAGATAGGACCGTCCATTTAAGCCATGTTCCATGTATGCATGAAAGTGTAGTCCAAACATATAACATATGGCTTGCAGCAATTCCCTGCTTTAACATTTCAAGCCTCTATTCAACACCTTATTTGAATCTCTATTTCAACCTTACATTTTAGCTTTCGAAGCCTCTACAATTTAGTCCTTTTTAAACATTCAACAACTAAGAACTACTTAAACAGCACGATGTAACCAGATGATAAAGCTTACCAGTTGGCAGCATTGGCTATTACATTACAGTGTAAACCCCCTTGCGAATAAAGTTGAGTTATATCCCCCACGAATGTGAAGAACTTTTTTGAGTCAATGTTCCTTTTTGCAGCTTTAGCCCTAACCAAAGACAAAATCTTTGATCCATGACTCAAGTCCACAAGAACAAGCCTAGCATTTTCAAGCTTATCTGCAAATTCTTTGACTTTCTCAACAATGATATCTGATGCTTTCTCATTGTTGAACTGGAAATCAGCTGTTGAAATAGATGGAAATGCCAGAGTGGGAATGTCTTCTACAAATACATCAGCACCAACAGAGCCCTTAGCCAAGTCTTCACTCTCTTTTACCTCCTTACCAGCAGTACCCAATAATGAAGATCCTTTATTTGTTCTTTTGCAGAAGGGATCGATTTCCTTACTAGCCTGAGGACATGCAGAATCCTGCGCAGTATCTGAACTTGAACCTACATTGGAAGGAACCTCTGCTTTTTTTAAGAACTTCATGATACCAAGTTGGATTTTTGCATCCGGATTCTTCTGACCAAAACAACCATTTGGAAGGGTATCCAGTGGACCAAGTGCACTATATGCTTTAATTGCAGCCTGAACATCATTCTCATTATGACAAAACACAATTCGAGCAAACCCTTCGTGAAGTTTAGGCAACTCTTTCTTTTGCAACATTCTATTCACCACCGCAGCAGCTTTCCCTCCTTGCAAATTTCCCTCGTGTCCAGTCCTTTTCACAGACCGGGAAATACAAAGCTGAGCAGGAAGATCAAGAACGACAGCATGAACATCTACTTGTGCACCACAACCCAACTTCACAAAATCAGAACGTTGTTCTTTATCCATATTGCATCTATCAATAAACAAACTCTTGCCTTCTTTCAATGCAATTGATGCACTCTTAAGACATTGTGGCTTAGTTCCAGCTTTACCATTATTAATAGTGTCCTACAACAAAGACCCAAAAGCCACATTCCCGAATCATCCAAAAAGAATGAACTTGAAACTAAACAAAACTTATTTTGGCATTTCAACAAACGAGTGTGGGATGTTCGAAAGAAACCTGGCAAATGCGAGTCCAAGGTCTTGAAGAGGAACCCATTACGTGTTCAGAGAAAGTTGACTTGCCACTGCCTGGTGCACCCACTAATATCACCATTACTGGCTTTGCTTTCTGCTCTACTTCACCTTTTTTAACCCAAAAAAATAAAAATAAAACAGAAATGTTTGAATTTGGAAACATAACTCAAAACCCTTGTACAGAAAGAGAGTATATTCATGCAGAAACATTACATTACCTTTGTTGTCGATGTCCATGTCCATTTTCTGATGATCATCTGCCATTATGACGACCTGACCTCCTCTTAGGTTACAACACCAGAGTAGTATTATTGTTGTTTAGGAAGTGAAAAAAGTCAGCTTGTACGAACGTTCCGTACAAGCTTTAGTGTTTCTCTAGATGTTTGGATTGGGTTTTAAGCTGCCTAAGTTCTGAACATGGTTAGCGCGATCCGAGCAAGGGTAAGAAGTCTATGTTTGGTTTTCAGAACTGCTTCCAAAATTTCCCAGATGGTACCTTTATATCTTAATTAGTCATAGTAAACCTGTGTTTTAAATTTGATTTTTAACTTTTCTTTTTAGGTTTGAAGTATTTTTATTAAATGTATGGGGATTTTGAAGGAAAAAATGAGTGAAAATGAAGAAGAAGTAAAATAAAAATATATAAAAAGTTGGTTTATGGAAAAGTTAAGGAGTATTATTATCAAATTGTTTATGAAAAAGTTGTATAGAAATGAATTTAATTTATCCTTATATTTTAACATCATTTTTCAGTTTTATCTACGAGTTTAATTACTTTCAATCTGTCCTATATTTCAGGTTGTTTTTTAATCTATCCTTTAACTAAATTATTTTTTTATAAAAATTGATAGAAATACCTTCATTTGAGATACTCAAATTCCACTTAATTTGTTTTAAAAAATAAATTTAAAATAGAAAAATAATTCTTCTACTGTGTTAAATTTTTTCCTTTTCATTGTTATTTAACAAAAAGGTCAGATTTGAGTTTCTCACATGATTGTTTTTATTAGTTTAGATGGGACCATTGACAAAAAGATAAATTATAAAACGACTCTACATTCAAGGATAAATTAAAAATAATTAAACATTTAGGGACAAATTAAAAACTATGTACAAAATATAGGAACAAATTGACCTGATTTTTTAAAAAATTAATTTTACTTTCAGTTTTAATTATAAATAATTTTGGGGTTGTTTTTCACGCCTAAAGTTACTTAAGATAGCCTCTCTACAGGAAACCCGAGGATTGGACACATAAACTAGTGAGATTTATTGTTGAAATTGTCAGCGCCAACACTCTCTCTCCACCATTTTATCTCTCCAAAATAGACCAAGGACCAAAACATAATGGGAAATGAAATTTAGGGACCTAAATGTAAAAATAAATTAATAAAAAGTTAACAACAATGTGAATGTATAAATTAAAATACCCTTCAGAAGTTCAAAAAGTTTGGAAAAAAAAAAGTTCTTCCTCTTACCAAATCTGAATTTAGTTTTGTTTATAACAATCACAAGACAATATGAATGTAAACAATATAATATAAATGTAAGTTGCTTTAACTAAAGTAATCTTTAAGAGAGTTTTTTTTTTTTACTTCATGTGTGATTGTTGTATTGTAAGATTAAAAATATTAAATTATTTAGTGATTAAATTTTGTGTTACACTAGGAATAAAATCTATTAAAATTAAGCTTTTTTAAAGAATTTAAAATAAATTACTCAAGAAAATGAATCTTTTTCTTAATAAAAAAATAATTTTTTAATGATGTAAGTTAAAAAAAAAAAAAAGTAAAAAGAATTATAACTTTCGAAATTTTTGTTATTAAAATTTTAAGATTATTTTTATCTTTTAAATGAAATCAATAACTTTTCCTCTCAAAAGCATAACTTTTATGTTTTTTCAAAAAAAAAAAAAAAAAAAAAAGGGGAAGTCAATAATATACTTTTAAGTGGAATTACCTTTCATTTCTAGTAGTTTAGCAATGGCTATTGGTTATTTGAAGAGGTAACTATAGATTTTTTCTACACATGCTAACATTGACATTTAACCAATTTATAATACCCAAAAAAAACATGTGAATTTTTTTTTAATATTTAAACCGATATAAAAGAAATAGAATCGGTAGAAGAATGAAAGAGAGAGATTATAGAAAAATGAATTCATTATACAATGAAGTGAATACAAGAGATAACAACTCCAAATAACCTCTCAATCTCTACAAAATACTTGTACATAAACTAATAAACAATCAAGTTTATTTATAAACTTCAAGATTAAGAAGAGAATTTGAAAGGATTACGAACCATTAAAAGATGCATAAATAATTGAATAAATTGCATCATCCTTTCAATTTTTCATATTGTATGGTGAATTTGAATCATATGAATAGTGGAGAATATGAAATGGACATTCATTATTTTATAACACTCCTCTTGAATGTCTATCGTACAAGGAACATGCCTCATTAAAACCTTGCTAAAAAAAAAACCCAATGAAAAAAAATTCTAGTAAAGAAAAAAGAATACAATATTTCTTGTACACATTAATCTTAATGTTGGCCTTTGGGCTCCCTTTGTTGAAAACATTAGTTGAGATCTTTAAGACGATGTGTTTCAATCTTATGAATCATCTTCTTAAACGTTATGGTAGGTAATGCCTTAGTAAACAAATCTGCTGGATTATCACTTGATCGAATTCTTTCTTTAATTAAATTATGCAAGCAGCAATACCTTTATATGATATTGTTTGAACTTCTTTTTGTTGGTAGATAAACTGCATGTCTCTCGGATATGATGGATCGTTGATCTTAGAAATACACATTCTCGACTTGTCTCATGAATTGATATTTTTGCATTGTTTAAATATTTAGCGAGTTATAGTTTGCTTCATAGAATGTCATGATATAGCTATATTACCAAGTGTAAATATATAACTTGTTTGTGATCAAGTTTTATATAGGTCAAATAAATAATTTGCATCCGCATAACCAATTAAACTTGATTTTGATTTATTTGATACAATAAATACCATATCAAATTTTTCTTGAAGATAACATAGGAAATGTTTAATTCCATTCCAATATTCATATTTGAGTAGAATTATGACTTGCTAGTAAATTTATAAAAATGACTATATCGAGTTGAGTATTAGTAGCAAGATATATCAATGCACTAATGGCGGTAAGATATGGTACTTCAAGACCAAGTAGTTATTTGTTATCTTCTTAAGATCGAAAAATGATCTTTTTGGATATAAGGTGAATGAACTACCATTAGGTTAGTTAATGAATTATCTTTATATAGAATAATTATAGAATTTTTTTATATAAATTGACTAATGAATAGAAATATCATTCTTTAAGTACTCGAACCGCAAGTCAAGATAAAATTTTGTTGCCCAAGGTATTCATATCAAATTCTTTTTTTTAGCTAACTTAAAGCATTTGAAGTCCTTTCAAGAGTTCCAATAATATTTAAATCATCATTATATATAGCACCTATCACAAACCCTTTTTTGAATTTCTTTATAAAAATACATGAATAGATATGGTTATTTTTTTAACATTCTTTCAATAAATATTTATTTAAATAATTATACCACATGCACACGAGTTAGTAATAAAGAGTAGATATTGAAAAAAATATATAAAAAGTATAGTATAAGTTGAATTTCTAAAAATTAAAATAATAAAATTAATACTAAAATAATTCGATTTAGATGAATATCTTTGAAATTCAACAAATTTCTATGAGACTTTGAAGAGAATAGTACATCATTTCTAATAAAATTTATCCTTTCGGATAATAATGTATTTGCTCTTCCGGAGCCTTTACATTAGTCACTTCAAGTAATAATATATCGACTATTCTAGAGCCTTTAAAAGTTATCTCTTCAAGTAATAATATATTAACTCTTCTAGAGTTTTAAAATTTTATTTTTTAAGGTCATGATATAATCGCTCTTCCGAAGCTTTTTGTTAAATTGATATTATCAAATATGAGATTGACACAAATTAATTAATTTATTAATTAAATACAAAATTAATTAATAAATAAAATTTTCATAACCATAAATAAATAAATAGTAAAATAAATTTATCACCGTAGCGACCTTAACCTAATTCATTACAAAACCTTCGTATAACTTAGCCATTTTAGTTATAGAAAACTCAATTAATCACAAAATATCACTTAGGAATGTTAAAACCTCATATTAGAAAGATTAGGAAATTTTTTTTGTTTTGTTTTTTTCTTTTGCGGACTACACGGCCTCCCACACAGTCTTGTACCTTCCCGTGTATGTTTTTACCCAAAACAAAGGTTTTTTCGACCATAACACTTTAAAACCTAATAAAAACCATTCTTTTCACTTATAACCCTTGGATTTTCAATCAAAATCACTTTTTCTTTGTTCATAAACACGTCACAAAACACATCCAGGAGTTCATATTTACACATTTACATATACAATTCAAAAATCTCCTAGGATGCATATGCTCGGCATAATGAAAGAGAGGAGAGGGAGATCGCCGACCGACTCGTCACTCATGACGTGAATTGAACAACAAAAGATGACTTTAACTTTCACTTCGCTTCTTAGCACCTAAAAAGATAATTGCATTTTTAATGAGATGCTACTCAATGAGGGATATAATCTTGATGCTCTAACACACACATATACATTTTCACATCATTAACCAAAAGCACATTCATGACACAAATATAAGCATTTATATAATTCATACATGTTCATATATCAAAATGCTTGTATGTATTCTTTTCTTGTCGGTTATGACCAAAACACGTCAAGTATCGCCCCGGAACTCGTAACATATAACTTGTAAGCTTATAAGCTTATAACTTGTAAACTTGTATGGTTGGCTAGCTTGTATACCTATATTTGATCCATTGGGTCCTTGTAACTTGTATTTGCGATTACTTGGACATGGCGGTCATAACCTTACCCCTTTATCTATCATGCGTCATGAATGCCCCATATAACTTGTACTTATACATAATAACATTCATGGCTCATAGCATGAATCATCAACACATGCTTGCACATAGCATCAAAACATAATTCATACACAAACATTGGTTCACCATATCATTCGGAAAAGTCAATAACATCATATGGTAACATAAACACATAGTATCAATCAATTATATCCACTCACTAAAATGACGTCTTCGTCGTTTGTCAACGCGTTACATCTTACACCTCACACTCCTCGGCATCTATAAACACATACACATATACTTTT